GCAGTGCCACTGTGCCCTGCCGCCCACCATCGGGCCTGGGTTTGACTTCACCGTTTGCAGATTATGATGTGGGAACTCAGCAGGGTCCCCCAGCTGGGGTGTGGGGTCCGCCCCAGTCAGTGGACTGTAAGCCACAGGACTGCCCCCCTCCAGGGCGTCCGGGTGGGCAGTCCCGGCTCAGGTCTGGGGGTGCAGGCAGGCCTCCCTCGGAAGCTTCCGGGATACAGGGCTCCTCTTGGCTTGTAGAATTTGCTGGTGGTGAGAGGGAGACCTAGGTCCCAGTGGGGTCCACAGACACCCCAAGGGGGGGCAAGGAACAGCAGGCTGGTGGAGAAAAAGCATGTGGTGATGAGCGGCTTAGTCCCGGCAGCTCCATGCGACGCTTTGTAAAAGGACAGTTCAGAAGGAACAACACTGGCACCCCAAGAGTTTCCCAGCTGGGAAGTGGGGTGACCCAGGGCAGGTTCCTGAACTTCACGGAGCCCCTGGGACACCAGAGGCTGGGGAGGACCCTGCTGGCTCTGTGCCAGGTCCCAGGGACACAGCCCAGCGAAGCGGGGTGGAGACCCGGGACCCGGGAGGGGCGGGTGCAGGCAGGCGGCAGGCCCCTCATGGTGCTGTGGGCGCAGCCTGCCCGCTGTGGGCCTTCGGGCCGGGCTGCTCCGAGGAGTGCCAGTGCGAGCAGCGGAACACCCAGGCCTGCGACCGGCGGGACGGCAGCTGCTCCTGCAAGGCGGGCTTCTGGGGTGCACAGTGCCAGCACGGTGAGTGCTAGGCGTGGGGGGTGCTCCCCGGGCTGACTGGCTGAACCTGCAGGCCCCCTCTCTCCTCACCCCTGCAGAGTGCGAGCCCGGCTTCTTTGGGCCGGGGTGCCGGCAGGCATGTGCCTGTCCTCCGGGCATGGCCTGTGACTCTGTCAGTGGCCAGTGTGGGAAGCAGTGTCCTGCCGGCTACCGCGGGGAGGACTGTGACCAAGGTGAGCGGCTGGTCCCCGGAACCTAGGGTCTGGGTGGGGTGCGGGTCAGTTGGTCCACCAGCGCTGGGCACGGGAACGGTAGTGAGCTGGCCTGGGGCCCCGCATCTGTACCCACCCTGTACCTTCCTCACCGTGTGCTCTGTCTGCCCCTGGGCCCCTGCGAGGCTGCTTGGGCAGGAGCTGGGGTGTGCCCAGGGCCTGGCCCAGAGAGGGGTGGATGCCTATCCAGAACCCCTCCTCTCCCTCCCGAGTGTGTTTGTGCTGAAGCTGGGGTGCAGGAGCAACTCCCTGGTGGCCTGAACCAGACAGACAGGCAGCTGCTCCTGGGGTGGTGGCTCGGAGCTGAGTCTGGGCCAGCGAAGCCTGCGTGGGCGTGGGCGGTGATGGACGGCCCTCCTGTGGATGCTGAGACCTGGGGCCCAGGGAATGGGCACAGAGCGGTGGGCGAGGCTGGAGGCCTAGACCCCTTTACCTGTCATGGGCAGGTGATGAAAGAGCCCTCAGTGTGAGTGGCATGACCATGGCCAGGGGGAAGCTGGCTTGAGTTTCCCCCAGCCACAGGCCTGTCCTCTCAGTCAGAGCTGCCACCCAGCTTCCCATCTCTCTGGGGAGTAAGGATGGGCCTAGGGGCTCTGCCTGGCCTGAGACGAGGGGTCCATATCCCATCTTCACCCAGGCCAGGTCTCTCCTGTGTGGTGGTCCCAGGACCCCGTGATGACCCTGCCAAGGGCTCTTGGCCCCATTGGTACAGGAAGGGCATGTGGGAATCCAGCCAGAACCCCCTCCCAAGCCCAACCTGTCTCCGAGGAGCTCTGTGGTCTGTCTGGGCTGCCCCGAGTCTGCTTCCCTGTCTGTGGAAGAGTCACAGGACTCCCCTGAACCCACAGGCGGGCACTCATCTCCTCCTGACCCCTCNCCGCTCCAGCCCATCACCCCCAGCGGCCCGTATGCTGAGACCTGGAGGCCTCGCCCAGCTCTCCGTGCTGGTTGTCTGACTCTTTCCCTTTTTTCTTTAAAAGCCCTCCGTGTCCCAAGGATGAGGCACCGGAAATGACACACATATTTTTATAGACACGATGCCCCCCACCCCCCACCTCCCGCCGTTGTTAGGTCTGGAAAGTATTACTGAGCCAAACACGCGTCTGCCCCCAATTAGTGGAGAGGAGATCCCAGGCCTGGCAGGACCACTTCAGACGGCTCCCCTGGGCCTCCCTGTCCATGGTCCACAGCGTGGTACCCGCGCGTGTGTGTGTGTGTGTGCGCACCCTGGTCACTCAGGGTACCCCGGCTACGTCCAGCAGCCCTGCTGGGCCAGGAGGCAGGTGCCAGGGGTGGGGGCCCCTGAGGGGAGGAGGGCAGGTTCGCCTGAGGCCCTGCCTGTCTCCCCCACAGAGTGCCCAGAGGGGACGTTTGGCGTGAACTGCTCAGGCTCCTGCTCCTGTCGGGGGGCCCCCTGCGACAGGGTCACGGGGCAGTGCCTGTGCCCACCTGGGCGGACGGGGGATGACTGTGGGGCAGGTGAGTGGCAGGCATGTCCTGGGTCCTCTCACCTCCCTGTGCTGCACCACTCTGGGTGGGGCCCCAGCCCCAGGCCCTGTTTGCAGACCCCAGCCCTGGGCTGGGTGTGGGAAGCCCTGACCCCAGGCCCGTCCACAGGAGCTGCGGGAGCCCATGCTGGACCACCCTGGGGCCTGGGAGTGGGGTCTGTGCTCACAGAGGGGCCCTAGGAACCCTTGTCCTCCGGGAAGGTTGGCCAGCAGAGCCCAGCCCCCTCAGAGGGACCTGAGGTTTCCCCTCAAGGCTGCTTGTTCACTGCATGGGAGTGGCCTGACCTCTCTGATGGGCCCCTCGTGCCTGCTGAGCCATCCCGGGGCAGGGGCTCCTCTTGGGGCTATTGCATCCTGCAGCTTGCACCCCGAGGAGGGGCCAGGAGCTCCCCTGACCAGTTCTGCCCCTCCCCCTCCTGTGCACGGGATTCAGGGCTGTGCCAGATGCCCAGCAGCACCCCAGGGAGACTGACTGCCATGGGTGGGGGGGGAGACTAGATTGTCCCGAGGGCCACTGGGGGCTTGGCTGCCAGGAGATCTGCCCGGCGTGTGAGCATGGTGCCATCTGTGAGCCCGAGACTGGAGCCTGCCAGTGCCGCCCTGGCTACACGGGCATCCGCTGCCAGGATGGTGAGTGCCACACCGCCTGCCTCAGGCCCTGCCTGTGATCAGAGCTTCCCCACCCACTCACTCTCCCCCTTCCTCCCCCCAGCGTGCCCAGCAGGCTGGTTTGGGCCTGGCTGCCACACGCGGTGCTCCTGTGCCAATGATGGGCACTGCCACCCTGTGACCGGACATTGCAGCTGTGCCCCTGGGTGGACCGGCCTCAGCTGCCAGAGAGGTAGGTGCCTTTGCCCAGCATCCCTCCCCCTGGACAAGCCTCCACCCAGGACCTGGGGGTCTGGGGACCAGCAGGAAGCCCATCCCCCTGACCTGCTGTAGTGCCCGTGGGCTCTGCTGGGCCTGCGCAGGGTGACAGGGCTCTGTTGCAGCCTGTGACAGCGGGCACTGGGGACCCGACTGCAGCCACGCCTGCAACTGCAGCGCCGGTCACGGGAGCTGTGATGCCGTCACTGGCCTGTGTCTGTGCGAGGCCGGCTACGTGGGCCCCCGATGTGAGCAGCGTGAGTTGTGGCCCGACCCGCAGCCATGCTCTCTGTGTGCACACGCAGGGGCGCATGTACACACACACAGGTACACATGCGAACATGCACACACATATACACATGTATACCCACAATATACATGAGCACACACGTGCATGGGCAATGCACACACCTGTAAATGCACACACGCACATGTGCACATACACATGCACACACATACACACACTTGCAAGTGTTGGGGGCCCTAGCCCTGCCCTCTTGTCCCCAGACAAGCAGGGGTTCTACTCACCTGAACTCACCCAACTTCCCTCCCCAGCCTGGCCTCACCCTTCCACCTGCCTGGCCCAACCTCAGGCTCACCTGGAGCAGCAGGCAGGGAGAGGAGGGGCCTGTCACACCCCTCAGGGCACCAGGAGGAGGGGGAAAGTGGCTGCTGAGAGCCCAGGGCCAGGCCTTCCAGTGCTGCGGCTTAAGCTGGTGGGTGGGAGCCATGCCTGGGGCAGGTCTTCCTACAAGTGGCCCGAAAGGTCACACCTGGGGCTCCTGCCTTTCCTGGGGCTCAGGTCCTACCTGGGCAGGGGAGGGGGGCAGAGGAACGTGAGCCCAGCACCCCTGGGGCAGGAGGGGCTTCTCCATGAGCCCCTAAGTCCCTGCGGGGGTGGTGGAGTCCCAGGCAGGACTGGGTGGGCTCACTGTCCCCAAAGCTGATTGCTGGCTGGGGCTGTGTGTCTCAGGGTGTCCCCAGGGCCACTTTGGACCAGGCTGTGGGCGGCAGTGCCAGTGTGAGCATGGTGGGGCCTGTGACCATGTCAGTGGGGCCTGCACCTGCCCAGCCGGCTGGAGGGGAACCTTCTGTGAACGAGGTGAGCTGGGGCTGCGCTGGGGTCAGAGCTTGGATGGCCAGGAGTATGGGCAGGGTCTGGTGACCCCGGCCGTCTCCCCATCCCTGTCCCTCTCCTGCAGCCTGCCCGGCTGGCTTTTTTGGAGTGGACTGCCGTGAGGCCTGCAACTGCACCGCCGGGGCCACCTGCGACGCTGTGAGCGGCACCTGCCTCTGCCCTGCTGGCCGGCAGGGTCCCCGCTGCGCCCAGAGTGAGTGAGCCCTGCCAGCCGGGTGCTGCAGATGGGGGGGCGGGTTGCTGTGCCAGACTCGCTCCTGGAGCCCAGCTGTCCGGAGCTGCCTGGTGGCCACCTTGGAAATCCCTCTTTGCCCATAAAGGCCAGTGTGTTGTCCCTATTTGTGGTCACCCTGAGCGATGCCCAGGCGAGAGAGAAGAGTCTGCCCACCTGCCCCTCCCAGGGTCTGTCTCCCTGGACCCCTGACCACCCTCTCCCCTGCAGCCTGCCCAGCCCTCACCTATGGGCACAACTGTAGCCAGGCCTGCTCCTGCTTCAACGGGGCCTCCTGTGACCCGGTCCATGGGCAGTGCCGCTGTGGCCCTGGCTGGATGGGCCCCAGCTGCCTGCAGGGTAAGCCCTGTCCCAAAGTCTGGGGCCGGGGTTGTGCTCACCTGTCTCAGGTGGGTGTGAGGCTCACCTGGAGTGGTGGGCAGGGATGGCTGGGGCCCCTGGCACCTGGGGGAAGGAAGAAGGGTGGCTGCTTAGGACCCAGGGCCACACCCTTGGGTGCTGAGCTCCCCACGGCTGGTTGGTGAGCATGGGTAGCCTGGGGCAGGTTGTACTAGGGACAGTGGCGGGCAGGTCCCCACCCCTGATCTGAGGTTGGGCTGTGGGCCGGGCCTCCGGGGGAAGGAGGCCGGGGCCCCTGTGACCTGGCTGGCAGGTGCCGCACGTTGCTCCCTCTGCTTCCAGCCTGCCCCTCGGGCCTGTACGGCGAGAACTGCCAGCAGGCCTGCCTGTGCCGGAATGGAGGCACCTGTGACCCCGTCTCCGGCCACTGCGCCTGCGTGGAGGGCTGGGCTGGCCCTGCCTGTGAGCAGGGTGAGCTCTGGGTGGGCAGAGGAAGGACGGGGGTTCCTGGGGCCCTGCGGGAGCCAGGGCTGGCACCCCATGGACCCCGGTGCAGCCCCCTTCCTCGGAGGCCAAAGCCAGCTTCCTGCTCAGGGCAAGGACGGCATCCTGGGTGTAGCCTCAGGCCTGCAGGGCGACCGGCCCCCGCACCGCTCCTTCCTGGAGACGCAGGGGAGGCATGGGGGTCCTCGGGTCATGGCCCCGCCCCAGGAGGTGACCTCCCCCCATTCCCGCGCTGCAGAGTGCCTCCCAGGGCGCCTCGGAGCCCGGTGCCCGCGCAGCTGTGGGTGTCGCCATGGTGGCCGATGTGACCCGCACACGGGCAGCTGCCTCTGCCCCGCCGGCTGGACGGGGGACGAGTGTCAGAGCTGTGAGTGGGACGGGCTGGGGGCCGGTGCGTGGAGGCCCTGGGGCCCTACTCCAGGTGTGGGTCCTCGGCAAGGCGGCCAGTTCTCCCGGAGCGGCCGGGGTCCCCGTGAGAGGGTCTCGGCCCGGGACGCGGGGCTGGAGAGCGGGGGCCCCAGCCCTTCCTGTCTTGTCCCGTAGCCTGTGCCGAGGGCAGGTTCGGGGCTGACTGCGAGGAGCGCTGTGCCTGCCGGCGGGGGGCCACCTGCCACCACATCACTGGGGCCTGCCTCTGCCCCCCGGGATGGAGGGGCTCTCGGTGTGACAGTGGTGAGCCCCCAGCCCCTCCAGCGCCCGGGGGGAGCCCTCCAGGCCGGCGCTGGCCCCAGGCTCACCCCGGCCTGTGCCTTCCCGCAGCCTGCCCGCCTGGCTGGTTTGGAGAGGCCTGTGCCCTGCACTGCCAGTGCCCGCCTGATGCTGCCTGCCACCACATCACCGGGGAGTGTCGCTGTCCCCCAGGCATGACCGGGCCTGGCTGTGAGCAGGGTAAGTGACCAAGCTGGGTGGGCCTGGGCTGATGGGTGGCTCAGCCCCTCCTTATGTGACCTGAAGCTCGGTCCACATGTCCCCTGAGCTGTGCCTCAAAAATCTCATGCCAAGGGGAGGACTCGGGGTGGCCGGGAGGATGCCTGTCCCGGAGATGGGCCGGGACTAACCTTCCACCTGCACCCAGCCTGCCCACCTGGCACCTTTGGGGAGAACTGTGGGCAGCAATGCCAGTGTCCCGGCAAGAACCAGGCCTGCCACCCTGCCTCGGGGGCCTGCGTGTGCGCCGCTGGCTACCACGGCCCCGGCTGCCGGCAACGTGAGTGCTGCCTGGGCCACCGCCGGGCCGGCCTCGGGAGGGCCCCCATTTAGGGTGGAGGGTAGGGACACCAGGGGCTCTGTGTGGGGGGTGGGGGTGGGCAGCCCCAGCCCCTCAGCCCCTGGCCACTGGCCCCTCCCCTGCAGGGTGCCCTCCTGGGCGCTTTGGGTCCGGCTGTGAGCAGCTGTGTGGATGTCTCAATGGGGGCTCGTGTGACGCAGCCACGGGCGCCTGCCACTGCCCCGTGGGCTTCCTCGGGACCGACTGCGGCCTCAGTGAGTGGTGGGTGAGGATGGGGGGATCCTTCCTGTGCCTCAGTGGGTGGGGCCCCACACCCCAGTCTTCCGGCCACCCACCCCCCTGGCTCTCCAGTGGGCCCCAGGCTGGGTGGAACTAGGGGTGTCCCAGCAGGCTGTGCTGTGCCCCAGGCTGTGCTGTGCCCCAGGCTGTGCTGTGCCCTCCAGGGGTTGTGTGCCGCCTGCAGAGGCCAGCGGGCATCCTGCCGAGAGCAGGGCCTTTCCCTAAGTCACATGGGGACTTTCCACCATCTGAGATGCTGGCGGGCAGGGGAGTGAGTCACTATAGCTGCAGAGCCAGCTGGGCCCCAGCAGGACCCTCACGGGATGGGAGATGCCAGAACGGCAGGGGGCAGGGGAGCGGCAGGGGGCAGGGGAGTGGCAGTCTCGGCTCTGTTTGGGCCAGACACGGGAGATTCCTCCCGGCCACCCTGTCCCCAAGCGGCACAGAGAAGGGGGTCCAGCCAGGGGCAGCCACCCTCCCACTTCCTCCCGGCAGCCTGTCCACAGGGCCGCTTTGGCCCTGGCTGTGCCCACGTATGCAGGTGTGGGCAGGGGGCAACCTGCGACCCTGTGACTGGCAGCTGCACCTGTCCCCCGGGGAGGACCGGCATCTACTGTGAGCATGGTGAGTGCCGCTTGCCTGCTGCCTGGGGCGCGTCCGGGTGTCACTCCGTCAGCCACGGGATGGAGCAGCGGGGCCCCGTGATGTGTTCTGTAGACTCACTCCCCTGCCCGCCAAGTGCCCCAAGGGATAAATGAGCTCCTTCTTGTGTTAACAGCAGCGTCCCACTCGGTCACTGGGCCACCCAGCACCACTCTACACCTTCCTTTGACCTTGGCCCCTGACCCAGGCCATCGAGTGACCTGTTCAGTCCACCGGGGGGGCTGAATAGGGTCCCTTTAGCCCCATAGCAGGAGGGGCCAGGTGGCTGTTTAGTCTGAGGATGGAGCCAGCCTCCTGGCTGATATCTCCTTGGAATGGGGACCTCCTGGCACTTTCTGCTGGGCCAGGGGCTGGGACCCCAGTAGAGGGAGGCCTGGAGCACGGGCCTCGGTGGAGAAATGGAATGGCCCAGGAACAGTCCTGGAGCTAATGCTCAAGATGGCAAGCAGGTCCCCACAGCCACCCCACAGCCCGAGGGACTGACTCCTTGGTAGGTCTGAAACCCTGCCACCCTCTGGTCCTCATAGAGGTGCTGGTGACACCCCCTGGTTCTCAGCCGGTGGCAGTGGGGGGTCAGAAGCCCAGAACCTGGCTCTAGCCAGTCCATGTCCTTATCCCCAGAGGATGGCAGCTGTGAGTCAATCAGATGTTGAGCAGAGTGCCGCCACCTTCAGGAAGGCTTCCCTGACCTCCTCCCATCAGCTGGGCAGGCGCTTGAAGCCCCTGGAGGGACCTGGCCCTTTTCTCCTGAATTACCCTCAGCCCTGGGTCAGGCCTGGCCTTTGCTGACTGAAAGGATGGATGAATGGGCAAGGCATGGCTGGTGCTACTCCCTGGCACACGTGTGCCCAGGGTGCAGACACTGGCCCCCAGAGGTCCTGGGAAACATTTGTTGAATGAATGTTGGACTCAGTGGGGATGTGTCCCAGAGAGTGTCCGGCTTCTGTCTCTAGACTGTCCCCCAAACCGGTTTGGAGCGAGCTGCGAGCACAAGTGCTCCTGCAGGAATGGGGGCCGATGCCACCTCGCCAACGGCAGCTGCTCCTGTGGCCTGGGCTGGATGGGTCCGCACTGTGAGCTGGGTGAGTGTCCAGGCCAGTTGAGCAGCTGAGTCCTGTGTGGCTGGAGGGATGGCTCCCTGGTCACCTGAATCAAGCTAGTGCCCAAGGGGCCGGCCCTGTGCTCCCCCCCACTCCCAAGGCAGGAGGCCGACCTGCCGCTCTCTCCAGCCTGCCCCCCTGGGTACTACGGTGCCACCTGCCACCTGGAGTGCTCCTGCCTCAACAACGCCACCTGTGAGCCAGCCACAGGCACCTGCCGCTGCGGCCCTGGCTTCTATGGCCAGGCCTGTGAGCATCGTGAGTCGTGGGGGGACCCTGGCCCGACATCCACACCGCCTGCCCACGTGGGGGATCTGGGCTGACCTGGGCTCGTGGGGACCTATGAGACTGGGTCTGACCCCGGAGCTCTGAACTCAGTCATCTGCTCACTGGGGTAAACTGAGGCAAGAACTCTAACCGCTCTCCCTCAGCATGTCCCCCTGGCTTCCACGGGACTGGCTGCCAGGGTGTGTGTGAATGTCAGCACGGAGCCCCCTGCCACCCTGTCAGCGGCCAGTGTCTCTGCCCTGCTGGCTTCCACGGCCAGTTCTGCGAGAAGGGTGAGTGCTCCCAACCCAGCCCCCACCCTGGCCCTGCCCGGTCGGGGTATGGGACAGGAGGAGGCGCTGAGCCCACTGCCCCCCCCCAGGGTGTGAGCCAGGCTTATTCGGAGAGGGCTGCCGTCAGCGGTGTGACTGTGGGAGCGGGGTGACCTGTGACCCTGTCACCGGCCACTGCCTTTGTCCCCCAGGGCGCATGGGGGCCACCTGTGACCTCGGTGAGTCTGTGGTCCCACTGGTGGGGGCACAGGTGTGGGTTTCTGTCAGGGGTACCCATTGGTCCCGCCCTACCTGTGCCATTGCTGGTCTGGGCTCGGTGCCCTCCTGTTCCCAGCCTCCTGCAGGGATCAGCTGCTCAGAGCTCTGCCTCTGGTTGTCAGGGCCACTCCTGGTCCTCAGGCCACCCAGAGTTCCCAGGGAGGTGGAAGGAGCCCCCTCTGATCTGCCGTCAGGGGCGGGGATGGGGGGCCATCCTGCATGTGGTTTTGCTGTGGGGGCACATCCTTGACCATCAGGCCCCCGTTGCTGCCCGGGCTGGGCAGGACCTGGGGCTGTGATTCTGGGCAGGTGCCTGGTGCCGGGTGCTTTCCACGGGAGAGCCCACCCCGGGCAGGGAAACAGCTTGGGGTTTCCCCTTGCACCACCCTACCCAGAGGGCGGCCTGGCCGGGCGGACAGGGGTGGCTCTCAGGCTCACCCCTCCTGCCTCCTCCCCTGCAGACTGCAGAGGGGGCTTCTTCGGGCCCGGCTGCGCCCTGCGCTGTGACTGCGGGGGTGGGGCCGACTGCGACCCTGTGAGCGGCCAGTGTCACTGTGTGGATGGCTACGCAGGGCCCACGTGCCGACAAGGTGAGTCAGGCTCTTGGGGAGAGGACCCGGACACTGTGCCCCAGCCCCGCCGCTGCCCAGACCGTCCCCCGCCCCACACCCAGAGCTGACCGTCCCGGTATGTTCCCATGGCTTCTGATGGGCAAAGTGTAACCTTGCGGCCACTGGGCCTTGGAGCAGAGCGTGGCGGGCTGTCAGTCGGCGGCAGCCCCAAGGTCTCCAGCCCCAGGCCTCCCCAGGGCGGGCTCCCCCCACATAGGGCGGGTGGGGAGGGGGTGCCAACCTTGCCCGCTGGTGCCCAGGACTTAATGTTGGCTGTGGCGGCACCTGGTGGTCAGGTGTGGTACTGCACCACGGGCCCGCAGCCTTGGGCAGCCTTGCATTTGGGGGGGGCTGCTGCCTGCCTGAGGCCCCCTTGGGAAGGCAGGGCCTCACTGCCCCCTGCTTTGGAGCAGGCCTGGCTAGGTCAGTAGTGAGGTCCCCTCTCCCCCCACATCCAGCCCAAAGTCTTGCCTCCCAACCCTCCAAGCTGCCTGGACCGGGCAGGGCTGGGAGAGCTCATTTGGGGAAGGGAGGAGTCCCCACTATTTGCATAGGAGGGGGTCCCTGCAGGCGTGGGTTTCCGATCACCACTGTCCACCCGGGAGTGGGGCACTAACATGAGTGCTGTCTTCTGCCTCCAGGTGGGCCCTCCCAACACCCTGGGATCCTGTCCCCAGCCCTGAGCCCAGGTAAGGGGATTGGGTGGCATTAGGTGGTGTGACTGGCATGTCATCAGCAGATGAAGGGCAGGGGAGGGACGAGGTTTGGGCACTTAGGTAGAACCTGACCCTCGGAGGATAGCCGGGGTGAAAGCTGGGAGGACAGGCCGGAGCTGGAGAGCAGGGGGCAGAGCACGGTGTCCCCCCCCGCTGGCGCCGACCCTCCTTCCTCCTGTATCCGCAGCGCCCTCACACGCAGCCCCTCGCAGACCGGCGCCCGGGCTCCGCGGCAGGACGGAGGGGCGCTAGCTCAGGGGCAGCGCGGCCCGGGGCTTCGGTGGCCTCTCAGGAAGGACGCGGCGGGCCTGGCCTGCGGCCGCTCTTGTTTGCGAGGGCCGTGGACAGCCGTGCAGCCTCTCCGCAAGGACCGCCTGGCCTCCAGGGGGGAGGCTGCGCCTGGCCGGCTCCTGGGGCCCGGCAGTGGCCTGGCCTGGCC